AAAGGCAGTTATCAGCTTAGCACAGACAAAACAGCGCAAAATTCCTCACATACATTATGTTGCACTTTCAAGGGTAAGGTCACTTGATGGTCTATTCATTCTGGATTTCAATGAAAAAAGTCTTTCAAAGGATGAAAATGTTGATAGAGAGATGGAAAGATTGAGAGATAATAGATTGCAGCTCTCATACAAACCACTTTACTCAGTATATAAAGATATCAAATTTTTGTTCAACAATGTAAGGTCTCTACACAAACACTTCTTTGATATCAAGTCAGAACCAAGTGTTTTAGCTGCAGATGTTATTGGTTTAGCTGAATCTTGGCTTTGTGAATCAGATTCTGATGAAGACTTTACTTTGGAGGGTTTTACAATGTTCAGAAATGATGCAAATATTTCCCAAACCAGATCACATCATGGCATTGTCATATATTTGAGGAATCATTTACAGTGTGTGACATACAACACCTTCACTTCCAAATCTGTTGAATTTTCCATGATTTCCATTATGCCATCTAATACTCCAATACAGTGTGTAGTTTTATATAAGCAGCCTTCTTGTACTCTTGAACATTTTTATGATACTTTGAAGAGCAGGTTGCTTCCATTTGTTCACAGAGATGAAAAAATTGTGATGATGGGAGATTTTAATTTGGATTTGAATACTGGTCAGTATGGACATTTCCTAAACTTTATGAGAGAAAACTTTGGTTGTGAGCAAGTGATAAACAAGGTAACAACAAAAAACAAGACACAATTAGACCTAATATTTACCAACTTTACTGATATACAAACAGATGTGCTCCAGGCTTATTGGTCTGACCATAATATGATTTATTGTGCTACAAATAATCCTTAAGCTAGCTAATGATATAGGTGCAGTTGTATTTTCCAGTATCAAAAACCCTCTAGAGCACAACATAGGTAGTATGTAAATATTTAGTTTCCATTGGAAACTAAATATTTACAAACTGCCAAGAGTGGTTAGGCAAAATCAAGGGTTGCCACTCATCATCTACCTTATATGTCCCAATAACTCCCCTTTATCTTTAAAAATACGTATGTACATGTAGTATTCAATTTTAAAATTTTAATACATATATTTTCTTATTGGGAAATTATTGGGACAAAATTATAATGTTTAAAAATTGAATGCCCATGAGATGGAATTATTTTTAGTTTAATATGTATGTAATATTTGCAAACTTTAAAAAACAAATGAAAACAGTTTTGCTGCCTTTATTTTATTTAATATATGCAATTGAAATTTCATCACAGCATATGTAGATTTTTCTGTTATAACACAATATGTAAATTTGTATACTTTTGTAATTATTGAACTAAACATATAAGTCATTTATAAATTGAAGATAAATATGCATGTTCTTTTTTTTTTAATTGAAATATATAAGTATTGTAATGAATAATTGTACCGGTGCATATCTCTGCAAGATTTGATTGGATCAAATATTAAGATATTTTTATAACACGTTTTTAGGGGTCATACCTCTTAATTAGACTTGATCTATTAGGTCTGGATGAAATAATACAATCAAATAGCATTTGATACTTTTCCAATGTTAAGTTTTACTTCTTTTTTGATTGTTTTAACAATTATTTAAGGGCCCTCTCAACAGTTAAAGAAAATTGAGAAAATTGTAGAATGTAAAGGTGTAAATAGTGAGCTTATCTTATTACATTTTCATCACAATGTTCCTATGCATTCAGCCTTAGAAAAAAATTTCAAAGAGAATCCAAGTTTCTTTATTTCAAAGAGAATGAAGTACTCATGAACAAATATATCACTGTTTTTTACTTAACTGTGCAAAATACTTGCAAATGAATTAAGAGTTCAATCTATTTTTCTTGTGGATGCTTGATTTAATCACATATTAACTGATACTGATAAACTATATACATTTCAATTTATTTAGTTAGATCAAAGGGCAGATTATCTGCATAAAAAATACCACAAAATAAGAACTCTTTTAATGTGCAATGTATAGAGGGCTCTTAATGTTTTTGTGTTTGTAAAGTGCTTTGTACATTCTATGAGTTATTAATGCATGTACATGTATAATAATTATAAAATTCATATTTCATCTCATGGGCATTTAAATTAACATCAGTTTCTTAAATAGTATGGTGAATTACTTATGGTGATTGATACACCTATGTATTGAATTTAAGTGTGTAAGTATGTAATTTTGAATGAAAGAATTGATGTGTTATACTCAGAATTACTGCAGTGATATATGTACAACCCATTGTCAAAAGGGTAATGTAAACCAACAGTTGCCCCTGTGATGTGAAAAGACTAGCTGCTAACATCTTGTGTTAATGTAGAACTGATATCAACATTCCATTTATAGAAAAGACTATCTCCTGTGTTGGATATGAAATTTAAAAACCAACATTCCATTTCTGAAAAGGACCCACTGTGTTAAATATGAAACTGTTAAAGCAATTACATTCCATATCTGAAAAGACTGGCTTCTGTGTTACATGTGAAACTGTTATCTACAGTTCTGAAAAGACTGCCATATATTACCTGTGAAACTTTTATCTTAACACTCCGTTTCTGAAAAGACTGGCTTCCTTAATTTGCTACATCGAATGTGAACTTGGTATAAACTGTTGTACATAATTATATTAAGAAGAATCACATAATATATAATTATTGCTGTTTTTTAGGTCAATACAATGATTTAGCCATCTGAGGAGTACAATATTCACCATTTTTATTTTTGCATTATCCCCAAATCTATATTTTTAATAACTGCAGATATTGTATATTGAAATTTTATGCAAAAAACATAAAGAAATAGATATTCCCCTCATAAAATTAGAATTCTTACCCTCATTTACCACAAAAAATTAATTGAAATCTACAGACAACACAATTCAAGAATTAAAATACTACATGTAGTATACATAATAAAACCCCATTTCTCTAGATTTATAGTGTCTTAAAATTATGATCTTAAGATTTATTTTTCTGAAAAAAAAACTGTTGATGAATGTATTCAGCTCTTTGTAAACAACTTTTAATCTTTCTTTTCGCTTTCGTTATGTAAGATTAAAGATGTTGTTCTCTACAATCACTGAATACAGCTATTTCCTTGAAATATATCCCTTAGCTATAAATTTTCATTATGCAGATGATTTATTTAAATTGTTATCATGGATACTCTGAATTTAAAAGTTGATTTAATTAATATATCTAAAAATTCACTGGTCTAGGTAATCTTTGCAGATTGATTTTTTTTTTTTGGGGGGGGGCTGCATTGTTTCAAAATGCTTTGGAGCAGAATGATTCAAATTGTGTATTAAATTTGTTTCTATTGTTTTTGCCATAAAGCATTTATGTGTTTATTAATATATTCTTGATCATGTTGTAAAAAGTTAAGGATAAATTTATGGTTCAATTTTTGCTACATGTATGGTATTAGTGCAAATTTTAAAATGTATGTAAACAATTTGTGCTTGGTGGACAAATTCAGGTACATAAAAAACATGTTCATGCTATCATAATTTCACACTATCTATTTTTATGCTCTAACTGTCTGAAATCACCAAAGACATGAAACATTCACTTTTTAAAGGTAGGTAGCATAGAAAGAGGGAGGTCAATGGCCAGCCCGTGAAGGGAGGTAAACCTTGCTTCTTTCAGATGATAAAGAAATAAAGTGAAGATTGCTTCATACATAGTATACTTGGTGGTAAAATTTCAGAAAGTATACCAATAAGCTATTTTCATATTGTTTGAAAATTGAACAAAGTATTGAAATATTAAATGAATTGTTCACCAAGCTTTCTAAATAAATTCAATGCTATAGTCAATAAAGACAACTTCATTATTTCAGTCATTATTGTGCACAATTTAAAAGTCAATTATTGAACCATTGTACTAGTTACGTGTTTATAGAAACATGCTTTTCAGTGTGTAAATCAAGCAGTGATTTTTATCTACATTGATGTTCTCTTTTGCTAGGGGATGGTCTAGCTAGCTGCTTTGCAATATCTTGTTTTTTATTAATTTCCTTTACTTTGATTTTTTATGTTGAGTATAATTGTGCCATATTTTAATTTAAGCTGTTGTACAATAGTAGAGTATACTATGATATATAAGATGTTTTCTCATGATGCTTTCTTTTAAAAAATTTGATGTTATATATAATAAATAATTCCATTGATTAATGCATGAAAATCATTATACTGCATAAATTTAAAACACCAATAAATCTAATTTGACTTTTTGTGAATGTGTGATTTTTTATAAGTCAAGTATGTTAAAAACACTGCAAGAAAGGAAGGATTACTACATATCAGAGTTTATTTTTAAAAGTGTTCATAGTAACAATAATGAATAAACAAAACATTGATATATAAGAACCACAAAATGCACAATTTTTCACTCTAGAATATGAAATTTTTAATGTGGCACTTAAGTTTACAGTTGTGAGAAAAGTTGTTTTGTATGTAAGAAGGACTCTCTAACTTGCTCAAGGTCAGTGTTAGCCAAGGGTCCCACATCTTCACACTGCAAATGCATTGTAAGTTGCAAAACAAAGAACATTTCATTATTATGTGATACTTCGATGAATAATGTACTGCGAAAAAATCTGAAATTTGTGCATTGATGGCATATGATAATGGTACAGAATTACATGAAAATTACATGAAAATGAAGGAAGTAGTTTACATAACCCTATTGTAATTCAAGTTTGCCTGAGATAAAGGTGTATATATCTTCCTTCAACATTATGGTTTTACTCAGTTGTAAGACTTGTTTCTTGATACTCAGGTGACCTATAAGGCCCGTGGGCCTCTTGTATCCCATAAGAATTGTAATATATTAGGTTTTCTAACAAAATATTTTACTTTGCAAATTATTATTAGTTAATGGGGGAAAAGAGAAATGTGAAACTAAGACTACAAATTATTGTTTTCCATTGAGAGTTGTCTCCCTTAGATCACGGTTTATATTCCTATTTTAGTGAGATGCTTGCCGACCTGAAGGATCGCGTAGCTGAATGGGATCCCACCCACTCCTGCCTGGGAGATATTTTTGTGCGGTTCTGTACCCACCTTAAGTTGTACACTAACTTTGTCAATAACTATGATGTCATCTTACAATGTATAGAACGGACCAAAGAGCAAACCCCTGCTTTCCGAGCTTTCCTAAAACGTCATGAGAGAATTCCTGCCACTAGAATGATGACGTAGGTTTATTGCCTCACAGAAATTTTGGAGATTGATATTGAAATTGAATTTTCAAAAACTGAAAATAAAAATGACATTTTATTAAAGTTCAGAGTAAAGTACCATTGAATGATAATTGAAGAAGTTTGTTTTAAGATAACTGAGTTTATTTATTTTAATTTTTCCATGACCCCCTTGTATTTCAGGTTACCCGAGTTGTTGCTGTTGCCGGGACGACGGATCAATGAGTATGTGACCCTATTGAGTTGGTTTGAGGTCCACACCCCCTCCACTCATCAGGACCGAGCTGACCTGGCCGACGCCATAGCAACACTTAAGGTGGTCAATAGGCATGTTCAGGAGGTTTGTATACAGAGTTATGTCCCTTGACACATTGTGGGAGTCTCAGTGAAAATAACTCTTGAAGTGCATTATTTCACTTGTTTAATTTACACAGAGCAAGACCAGAATGGACAGAGACAGAAAGATGATAAAGTTACAGAAGACTATTCTTAACTGCCCAGTAAGTTATTTCAAACTTATCTGCCCAGTGAGTTATTTCTTACTTAAATGTACATTAAGTTATTTAAAACTTAACTGCCTAGTGGGTTATTTTTAACTGCATAGTGAGTTATTTCATACTTAACTGCCTAGTGTGATATATTCATACTTAACTGTACAGTGAGTTATTTCAAACTCAAGATAATCTAATGTTTTTGTTGACATTGACAGAGTTTACTAGAATCCAACAGATACCTCATCAAACAACAAGACGCTGCCAACATGAGACCACCATCAAACGAGAGCACTGTACCAGAACTCAGGTAAGCAATGTCCCAGAAATCACAGTTTCCACTTCAGACGTAATGAGCTGTATGAACTCTGAACCTTGGCAAATGAGACTCCTGTGGCAGAACTCAGCTGCGTTTAGAATCCTAGCAAGCAAGACTGCTGTATCAGAAAAGCACCAGCAAATAAGTTCCAAAAGTATTACAACATATTATTGGAGTCATATTCAGTTATATGTTCCCTTTTTCACAGGAAAATAAAACCAGGAAAATTTCACTCAGATGAAATAAACTTGAGTAATGAATTATCAAGAAAAGGAGGGTAGGGTGGGGCCACAGTGGAAGATCAAAGTTTAACTAGAGGTGCTGTGAGCAATGAGCTCACTAAATAATACCCGCCCCGCCTCCCATATGAATATAATAGCAGTATCCATGTTTTGCTTTGGAAAATCCAAAACATATGTCAGATCAAAAAGTAAAATTTGAGGTGCACAATGGCAATATGTAATAAAGATTTTGTGAAAGTTTCATTAAATTTCCTTCAGTGGTATGAGAGGAGTTGCAGATAAGAGATAGGTACCCCAAAGCGTAACAGGCAGACGGACGGACAGCTAGACGGACGGAGGGATGGACATACCGATTACTATATACCCTACCACTTTTCAAGCGGGGATATAATAAAGGAATATACAGGGAAAATCTTTAATAAAAATCTTCTCAAGAACACAAAGCCATGATTACTCATATTTATTTTGAACTATCCTTGGGTTAGTATATACTAGATTCAAATTTATTCAAATCACAACCCCGGTGGTAGGGTGGGGTCAAAATGAAATTTTCAAACATATAGGGAAAAAAGGACATAGTAAGTCAAAGAAATATGTAAGCATTCTTCTTTAGTGTAGATTCAAGTTAATCAAATCATACCACCCCACACACCCCTTAGGACATGAATCAAAAACTTACTTTACAATTTAAATTTAAGGCAAGTGTTCGGGGTACTATTGCTTTAATACTTTCTATTATAAAATGTATGAATGGTCAGAAGAATTGCATGAGTTTTCTGTTGTATAAATATTTGAATTTAGACAACCACCACTTTCGTGTTGTGTCGGCATGCATCATAGAGCTGGAAATAGAATGTCGTGCCAGCATTTCTTGTGTACTCTTCCTGCAGTGTGAAGTTCAAAATCATGTACATCAGTCAATGATGGAAAATTTTGTTCTGTGTAATTTGCTGTATGATTATATCATGTCCAATAAGCCGTTTTGTGATTACATGAGCTAACATGTTTATGTAAGATATAGGTCATGAACAATTATAGTCGTATGTTCTGGAGCTGGTGAAAAAGATTTGTTTTAAGAGAATACACAAGAGTTGTTGGCCTTGGCAGAGATACCTAGTTTTTAAGTGTGTGTGGGTTTTTTTTAACTCTCCTTGAATACGAAGTGAGGTCATAGGTCTTGTCTGATGCCGATTCTTAATTGTATTCCTTTCTCCTAAAAGAGGAGGGGGATTGTATGTTTAAATTGTATAGCGAGTCAAATGCAAGAAGCTAATAGATTAATTCAATCATCGTAGATGAAATTTGGGTGTATATAGGAATCTACCTGTCTATTCAGACTATGTCCTACAATTGTGTCTTAACTAACTTTGCACTGGAGAAATATTTGGAAATTTGTTCTTGACACAATGATTGCTTCTGACCTGGGCCTGAAGTTATTCCAACAAGGTCAAGGTCAATGGCAGAAAACATGTAAAATCTGCAGTCTTTTAAATTCTAAATGGAGAAACTTTAGTTTATACAGATTAAAGAACTTAATTCTGCTGCTGGAGATAAAAGACTTGTAGTAGGACAGGGGGAAATGTGTTGCATTGGCACCTTAAATTCTCCCACGAAGAGCTCAGCTAGACAAAATAGCGTGCCTTCAATTTTTAACTAGACACACTCTTGCAATTAATTCATATTAGTGAAGAGAGTGTAATTCGTAACATCTTGTTTTGAAAAGTAACCCAAATAACCATTTTCATTTGGATAAATAACAAAATTGGTAAAGATTTTGTGTAGAGTAGATCAGGCATAACTTGCTATGGAGTCATAATTTTGCCAGAAAATGCCTCATGTAAAATTCTAGGCGCTTCAAGAGAAATTTTAATGGCCTGGTTTAATTGGCTATTTCTTAGGTGGGTCTGCAAAATGACAATGCACTATTAATTTGAGCAAGGTCTTTTTCACTTTGGGACATGATTTTTATGCATTATTGAAAGCAGGGTGCAAAATGTAGAGAATTGTGATAGTAGATTAAGTACTAAACTAGGTATTTATTCTACAGAATTATTGAAAAGCTGTATGAAAGTGCTTTACCGGGTATATGATTCAGCGACATGCTTCAGAACACACCCCCCCCCCCCTTCCCATTCTCACTTCCCAGTAAATTAGCTAGCTGCAGATCTGTAGCTCTCCGAAAAAAAATATATTGATACACCGGAAAGCTACAGTGCCACCTATTGAAAAAACTGTATATTTATTGCGCACAAAAACGTGCGCTCGGTTCTCGATTTATTTCTCCATGTTTTTCAAACTAATCTCAAAATATTACTAACCATGTGTTCCTAACACACACTTTTTCCACAACCAAATATTCCTCATAATTGTTGTTAATAGTCCTCCTGACCTTGATATTGTAATCATCACTTCCCAATAAATAAGCCAATAAAAAAACTTTCAGTGATTGATAACTTAAACTGAAAGGAATTAATGAATGATGAAATATCCTTGAGGATCTTCATTCACGTAAGAAGAGGTTATTACATTGTATGCATTATACAAGTCCAGTCATGGATTACATTTCCTTGTAATCAATGTAGTCATGTTCAAATAAAATTCATCATATTTTCTTTATAATTTTCATGTGATGAGTCTATAAACCATTGTTTTCTTGCTCCAGACATGTGATAAACAATGTGCACTTTGTGAGAGAAAAAAAAAATGCCAAAGTTACGTAATCTTGTGCTAAGTCATCAAAACATGCAGGCTCTGTATAGATGTTGATAGATGTGTTTTATCGCTGCCTTACATTGCTGTCAACTTGTCTTAGGTAAAAAGTGTACGACATAAAGAAATAATACGGACAGACAAAGATTAAAGAACAAAAAAAAATCAAGAGATAGGATGAACAGCCATGTTGTGTGAAGATAAGGTCTGCTAGTGAGTGACACGTTATGTAATCGTTTAATGAGGCTTTTAAGATAGGCTAGCGTTTATTAGGATGGAGCTGGGCAGACAGTTTGTCTCATTATAAATTTGTGTGACAAAAGACGAAGACTTTTCTATTTATCATCAACATTTTTCGAGATGGAATCATGAACTTATATTGAGACTAGATCTAAGAGTTATCTGCCCATAGACCACACATTCACCTTGTGAAAAATAACCTCAATTTCAGTCAAGCTTTTTTTAAAAAAAATTCCTTATTTTATACTTGTCTGTACTTTTCAGTTTTAATGAAGCTAATTTTTCTAGCAGATGGCAAATATAACTCAATTGAACTTTAAATGCCCTCTCTTTCTGTTAGGTCTTGATCTCTTTGTGTAAAAAGTGCAAATGCATGCAGATCCAAGTGCTTATTACATAATATGCTCCCCAGAAATGAAGTTAGGCTGACAGTGCACTTTTAAAACATCTAATGTTACAGTATTTGTTTGAAGAAAATGTTATAAAAATTGTACATAAGATATGTAAGACAAAGCAATTTTTCATTTAAGAACATTTCCATCGCAAAAAGTGCAATGGACACACAAATTAAGTGTTTCACAATTAAATTAAGTTTTGTTTTTTTTTATAGAACCATAGACTAGCAATTTTTGCTTTGATGTCAATTAATTTCTCTATAAAAATTGCTGATGGCAAGAATACCACTGTATATTGAGCTTGATATTTCATTGTAAGATACTTCAAATCAAATGATGGAAATAAATTGGCATACCAAGAAAGACCTGCATGTGCAGATGCTTTAAATGTGAGATGTTTTTATGCAGGGAATGGATTTGTTTTACTTTTTTGCTATCAGACATTTCTATTTCTATGAGGATGAGTCACGCCGTATTGATCGTGTATCGGAGCTGACATCAGCTTCTGTTTTCCTGTGGACTTCCTATAAAGTCTCTGCTCTGTAGTGATTTCCTTACACAGTCAAAAAGCTACTGAAACCAAGAAGAAGTAAATAGGTTGCACATTTAATTAAACACTGATATGATTTCAGATGGAGATCTTGCATATTTTTTCAAAAACTTGCATTGTATAGACTAGAATTTCATTATTTCTTTATGTGGACTTTTATCTATTTATTTATTTATTTTTTTATAATATATATATATGTTGAAATTTTGGATCTTTTTTTTTTTAAGGGGGGGGGGGGGGTCACCAAGAAGTAAGTATACATTTCAGAAAATGGATTTAAAAATGCTAGTTATCTGCATGGTATATTATGTGAATGAGTCATGGAAATTTTGATTCAGATAGTCTGTAGTATTCATTCAAACATGAGAAAATGGCTTTGTCAGCTTTCAGATCCTTCAGTTTGTACTAGGGTATTGCGAAAAGGTTTTAACAATTTTCTTTATTGAAAGAGTCTATCTGGAATTCTCTGTTACTAAGATCCATGACATTTTTTACCAAAAGAATATATCTATTTTGAGTGAATGATGAAAACACTCCTGACAGTGGATGCTTTGGTAGCTGATCATGCAATGTTGGTCTTGTCTTGAATTGTAATTGCCTGACAGAATTTGCACATATGAAATATAACTTACAGAAAATTGAGCTCAAATTTGCAGACTTGCATTTAAAGTTAAAACTGGTTAGTGTGAATCTCAGTTTTAAATTTTTCTATCAACAAGATACAAACTTGTCATTCCTAGAAATAAAGTTGTGTATATAAAATATACACGTTGAAATGCTGTATTGAAGGTCTTTCTGCACAAACTGACTTTCTGATCTGAATTTAGTTAGCTTTTATTTAGGGGAAAATAAATAAAACTTATATACCATACATTCATATATGGCTTATCTTATGATCTAGTTATCTGCCCATAGGAAAATCTGACAATTTTATAAGCAAAAGCAGGGAGAAATATCAACTTCCTGATGACTGATTGAGGTATAAAGTGTGAAATTATTTATGTGTGAAAATTCTGTGGGGTCTACTGCTGAATGGACATTGTCCTTTGTATACAAACAATCTCTAATGCTGATGCTTGCAAAAATGGCATTTCAGCCATAGGGGTGTTTGCACTGAAAGCAGAACCTAAAATTATGACATTTTGGAAGCAATGCTATTATAGCCCCGGAGTTCATTGTCCAAGCTTTGACAGGGCATGGGGGGAAAAGGTTGAACCCCACAAATAATGAACAAGGGTAATATGTCAAAGATTGAATTGTAGGCCTGTCTACACAGAGAAATGGACCTGTAATTTAATCATGGCACCAGTATGGAGAATTGCTGTTTTGCAAAGCTGTGTTTTGGTCATTATGTTTGAAGATATTTAGAGGTTAAAGGAGGGGGTTCTTCAGGATTGTCTATTGTTATACTTTTACTTAAAAAAGTACATTTCTTATGTTTTACTGAGCGATTCCAAAAAAAAAAAAAATGTTGGACCTCTGAATATGTTGATCCTGTTGAGAGTTGTTGGACCGCTATGTTTTGTACATCACACTGTAGGGGAACTGGCTATTAGGAAAAATATGGAAACCAAAAAAAGATATGAAAAAATAAAATAAAAAAAAAGACAGTGTTCTTTAGCAACAGGTTTTGTCAACCCCATAAAGCTGTTTGCCTCTGGATCAGTTTGGGTCTTTAAGATATGACAAAATACATGTTGCCCTCAAACCCAGTCAATAAATGTATGATATTTAGGTTTATCTTCATGACGTCTTGTTTGAAGGATTATCAATAAAGAATTCTCTTGATTCTGATTCATATAATGGATGGACTTTTCCAATACTCCCCCACAAGAAAGCAAGACGATAATTTTCAAGGTTAAAATGCTTACCATTGATTTGCTGGGGGGAAAGAGTTATGAACCTGTCACAGACTAAAATTGGTTGTGATGGAGAACTGTGCCTGAAACCTGTAGTCATTGTATAAACAACAGTATTTTGTGTCCAAATGGTTCTTTTCAATTTCAAGATGGATGGCTCACCTTAAAATGGGTTAGGGTGTAGGGCAGCTATTCCAGACAGAGTCTGGTTCAGTGGTTGTCCGGTTACTGACCAGGGAAACTACTGAACCAGAGTCTGTCTCAAGCAAAAGTCGTCTTCTGGCCAAATAAAGAGTCAAATAAAATTTTAAAAGAGTAATAATTACATAGTTTTATTCGGAAATTTGGAAATGAATTAATGAAATAGGGAAATTGAGAAAGACTATAATGTCCTTTTGATGAAAAAATTTTATTTATTATTCAAATTTATTTTTCTTGTTTCTCTTAATCATAATGGTTCACTTATATTGGAGACCTGCAGGTAAAACTAAGGTTGCTGATTCAGACACCTTTCAGTTCAGTGGCTTTTCGGTAAGTAACCAGACAAGACAACTGAATTCTGTCATCAGCAAAAATAACCAAACATCCTCAAAATAAATGAAATACCTGTGTCCAGCGGGGAAATTTGAGACCCAATATAATTAAGAAAACAAGACTGAACAGCTGATTCATGTCTTGCATAATAAAAGAAGTAATGGAAATTTACCATGAAACATTACACTCATTTGTTGGTAGGGTTTCATTTGAACTTGAAATTTGTATTTACAAAAAACATGTTGCAGTATCAATAATGGCATTAAATTTTCAAAGAAGGCAAAGAAACTAGATCTCAATTAATGAAATAGGCAGACCAGTCATGTATTAATACTGTAATATCAAAGCATTCTTTGCAGATCCCAGTTATATAAGTTAATTCATCTTACTCATTAGCAGATTCCCTCTTTGTGTTTTCTCCACAGGAAAACTAAACATTTTCCTAAAGAGTTCCAAAAGAAAAAGGAGGTAAATAGAGGTGTTAACTCTTGGCAGTTAGCACAGTGGCGAAAACAGGTTGTTAATTAAGATTGAGTAACAGTATGAAGTCTATATACTCCTACTGGGAGTAAAGCTGATATTGTGTCTAGGAACCTGAAAGAAACTAATTGCATAATCTAGAAAATCTCATTATAAATCTACATCAAGGTTAACAAGACACTAGCAGTGTTAAAACATGGTCCATTACCCCTGACCATAGGAGTCCTTGGTAAACCATAAATTAATTTGATCAGCTTCTCCCTGGGCCACTTCATTATTTGGTGTTATGGCACTGAACATAATAAAGGGACAGTTAATGTAGCAGTCCAGTTCTTGGAAGTAAATAAATGAAATATAAAGGTTCAGGTGTAGAATTACTTAGACACACACATAATAATTCAGCTAAACTTTTAAGCCAATATGATTAATCAGCTAAAATATTCACATCTGGTTTCAGTCAAACGTATTACAATTCAGGCAGGGATTCACACAATATTACACCCTGTATTCTCAGATCAAAGGCTGTATGTATGATTATTTGATATAACAGAAATACCTAATGTAATGAGGAAGTCAGCATTGTAATCAGGCTGATTTATTGCACAATTGATCTCTGTGTGAAGTTATGTTGAATATCATTGCTTGTGCTTATTTAAAAAAAATTCAAAATTCATTATTTTGATAGACAGTCTTATCAAAATGGGTTTGTGTAGGAATCTATGTTTTTAAATTCTTTCTTGTTCTTTATCTAGAGAAAAGCACCATTATATTGTAATGTTCATGTGTAGATCTATTAAAAGTTAACTGAAATATACGGTCCATAGGATGGGGTCACAATTTCTACTTTTACATAGGAATGTACCGAAGATCTTAAGAAATTGATCTCCTCATGAACAGACCATAGCGAATCAGCTAGCTTTGTACAAGTAGGTCAAAATGATCATTATCTAACATAAAATACCTTAGAAACAATCATAACAGGTCTACCACTTAAAAACAGCAGGTTCTGAGTTAGTGAAATTGTTATATAAGCATTCACCTGTACTTAGTTTATAAAGGTTCAGGTGTGATCACATGATGACAACCCCACACCAATGGGCTAGGATAGATAGAGAGATGAGATAAATGTTGGAATACAGTACAGAAAAGTCATTTCCATTTCACACCTAAAGTAATAGAAGGCGTCATAGTATTAAGATCCCTTTTAAGGGTACACTATTTCAAAGTTAGAATAACTATAATACCTCCTCAAAAAAACAGCAGCTTTAATTTGTAAACATATCACCAAAGTTTAAAAAATCAAAAAAAATATATGAATTGATTTCAAGCTCATCTGCAGAGAAGGTAAGCTGGTAGGACATGTTTGACTCAGGTGAAAAAATGGATCATGAGCCCATCAATTTGGATACATCCCAACAAACCTCTAATGGAAAAGTGACTCAAGTGTCCTTCGGCAGTTGGATTTATTATTTAAGGTCAAAGATTTGAAGATAAATCATTTTTAACCATTGTGTTTACTTTAGGGTGAAAATTGTTATACATAATTCTACAGATATGTCTATAAATGTCAGCCATCAGTATTCCTGGCTCTTGATTATTCACTTGACTTACTGTGTAAGAAAAACAAATTCATTGTTCCTGAAATAAAATTTTCATGTCTTTTATGCATATACATTGTATTTATTTTTACTCATTTATTGAAATTTCTGAACCTATTGTATTTTTAGGGTGTACCAGCACATATCAATGTTAGGCCTCTTTCCGTATTTTTACTCAGTTTATTGAATTCTCTGCTCCTGTTTTATTTTAGGGTGTACCAGCACATAGAGATGTTAGGCCTCTTCCTGTTTAATGATGCCTTGGTGGTGACCAGGAGAACAGACAAGAACTTCCCCTTCACCAGAGCCAGGGAGCACACCTATATGTTTGAGAGCAGCCTAGCTCTGTCCAGACTGAGGGTCCGAGACATCCCAGAGTCCAAATGTAAGTGGTCAGTTTAATGGTGACCGACAAAGTGGTCAATATTTTGTGGCCAAGAAAGTGGTTGAGAAGTGGTCAATTTAATAGTGAACAAATGGTCAATTAAAGGTGAACATTAAAAAAAACCCTGTATCTTAGTTCAGATAGTGCAACAGCTAGGTTCTGCAGTAAATTCATTATGCTTGTCTTATTTGTGTTTTCATAATAAATTTGGTTGGGAGTGACTAGAATTATAAATGCTGGGGATGCATGGAGCATATGTAAGAGACTAATGATTATTAATGTCTTGAATCAAGGACCAGGTGCAAATGATAGATGGTATCTCTGAAAGTGCCTGATATTAAATGCAAAGAAGCAGATTCTTGACATAGCAGTCAGCCTATTTAAAAGATTTTTTTTATCTTAAGTTTGATGTTGGAATGTGTGGAAAATGATATGTGCTTGAGAACCTGAAGTGGATCCCAGGTTTGCGGTAAACACTTGAGCTTTCTATTAAGTGAATGATTAGGTCTTTGGAGGATTGTACGATATATCCAGAGTACATGCCACCCCCACACATCATACAGATATATGTACAAACGATTTGCTACACTTGTTCATCAAGCTGTAGCTACAGAAAGTTTGACATTTTGTAGTAGGCCTAAATCTCCTATCTTGTCAGAACCAATACACAGAATCACTGCCAGTGGGAACAAGTTGCATTTGTCCTAAATCCCATTCTGTCTATTGTTACTGATTGTAAATATTATCGTGTTACCGTCACCTCTGTAGGTAATTCTACCCATTGGATCTCTGGCCATTAAAGATTTCAGATAATTAGTGTCTTTTAAAGGCTTTTTCTGTGTAAGTAGGTCACAAAGCACAGAAGTTCAAGGTTACTTTGTATTATATAGAGTCAAGTGGTTGTAAAGTTATTGTGAAAGCTAGAATTTTATATTTAAGTGTCTATATATATTATTCAAAGTATTTTTAGCAACTGTTGCTATAAATGACATCAAAATATAGAAATTACTTTGAAAAGAACCTCTGTTATCAACTTATCATAAGGAAGTACTTGTGTTTCATAATTAAGTTATAACCTAGCTTGCACAGTTAACTATGCATGGCTCTTGATGCAGTGTAAATGCTGTCTTTGTGCTTTTGTTTCTACCTTGATATGTGGTCTGCAAGATTAAAGGACAATATACATTACATTTCCTAATTTGTGAACATTATGCTGATCTCAGTAATTAGTATGCTTGGTCACTATTGGTCAAGCAATCTTAAATATTTGTTTATCAGTGACCTTGCATAGAGATACCCTCAATCATCAGTTGACCACACAAATTACCCCCTTTTGATAGGACAGTTGATTTTGTGGGGTATTTAGTGTGACCAAGGCTATATTAACTGTGTAATAATCAGGACTGTAGCCACTTTACCGGGCTTTTAGGCCTGCCCCTGACTTATTTAGTGTGACCACCTGCTGGGACAGCTGAGTTATGTAATTCTCTCTTGTCATAATGTCACCTTGGCTTTGTTTTTAACAAATTACATACTAACTACAGATAAGTATTTAATGCACTGATATGCATATGTTGGGAACTAGCTTTCAGATTTGGTAACTTTCTCCATTTTTGGCTCTGGATATACATGTATCAGAAAAAGAGAAGGAGTGTTAGAGATTGAAAAAGAAACATAGATCATTAAAGCAGTTCATTTTGCCTTTCTATGTGATTGTGTAATATTCCTAGAGTTGGTGATATGTGGTAAATCCACTTCCAGTAAAGTGTTTGCTTTGTCCATCCACTAAGTCTTATCATATCTTGTTCACAATTTATTCTTTCAAACTGACTTGAAAATCAATGAAGTTCATGATGAGCTACTTTCTGGCTAAATCACTGTGGTTTGTTAATTGTAGGTGTTTTTAAAAGAGACTTATTCTGGTAATAATTTTAATATATGAATGAAAAAGAAGTCCACAATTTCATCTGTACTTTTGTTGTTTTACTTATCGTTGAGATTGTCAGCTAGGACATCTATTTTTGTACACCTTGTATTGGAATATGGTTTGAACTTTCTGCACAGTGGAGAGTGGTTTCTGAATCATCCATTTGAGTTGGACCTGATTCATAATGCTGATGTTCTAGGTTAATCAATATCTTCATCTTCTAGTGTATGAACACTTCTAGGAAACTTGAAATCAGTACTGTAGTAATTAAACATCCCACTCACCCCAAAAATGAAGGTTTGGGCTATTTAGAAATCACCTCTTATGCCTGTCTATCTGTCTGTCTGTGCAATCTTGTCCAGGCTATAACTTTTTTATGAAAAATCACTGAAAACTCATACTTGGTAAAAAGATTGTGTATGAGATGATGTCAAGACCTGAATCAAGGCCATTCTGGCAAGTTCAAGGTCTATAGTAGAAGAATAAAATCTTGATGATGCTGTAAGTTTCTAATGGAAATCATAAGAGTTCATATTTAGTATAAAGGTTCTTTGTGATAGTGTGTAATGGTCTTGAACCAAGGTTATTCCCGCAAGTTCAAGGTAAAAAGCGGGATAAAGGTTTTTTCCTGCAACTTCTTCATGTAGAAACATTGGAAGCTCACACTTCAAAAACAAAGATGCTTTTGACCTGAAAGTGTTTTATATTCTTTAACCAAGGTCATTTGATAAATTTCAAGGTCACTTGTTGAAAAATGTCCAGTTCCTTTCCTTACCATATCTTAAAAAATCATAATGATTAGTCAATAGATTTTGAGGAAAATCTGTACTTGCAGTTGTTTGATAAAGTCAAAAGATCAAGCTTAGATTGCTGCAGGATTCAATTCTAACTACAATTTTTTGAAATCTTTTTAGCTCACCTGAGCCGAAGGCTCAAGTGAGCTTTTCTGATCAAAATTTGTCCGTCGTCTGTCGTCGTCGTCGTTGTTGTTGTCGTTGTAAACTTTTCACATTTTCATCTTCTTCTCAAGAAACACTGGGCCAATTTCAACCAAACTTGCCACAAAGTATCCTTGGGTAAAGGGGATTCAAGTTTGTTCAAATGAAGGGCCACGCCCTTTTCCAAGGGGAGATAATTATGAATTAGAGAAAAATCAATGGCATTTTAAAAAAATCTTCTTCTCAAGAACCACTGGGCCAGGAAAGATGAAACTCATGTGGAATCATCCTCAGGTAGTGTAGATTCAAGTTTGTTCAAGTCATGACCCCGGGGGGTAGGGGGGGGGCCAAAATGGCCGATCAAAGTTTTACATAGGAATATATAGGAAAAATCTTTAAAAATCTTCTTCTCAAGAACCACTGGGCCAGGAAAGATGAAACTCATGTGGAATCATCCTCAGGTAGTGTAGATTCAAGTTTGTTCAATTCATGACCCCCGGGGGTAGGGCGGGGCCAAAATGGCTGATCAAAGTTTTACATAGGAATATTTAGGAAAAATCTTTAAAAATCTTCTTCTCAAGAACCACTGGGCCAGGAAAGATGAAACTCATGTGGAATCATCCTCAGGTAGTGTAGATTCAAGTTTGTTCAAGTCATGACCCCCGGGGGAAGGGTGGGGCCAAAATGGCCGACCAAAGTTTTACATAGGAATATATAGGGAAACCTTTTTAAATCTTCTTTTCAAGTATCTCAAAGCCATGATTAGTAATATTTATATGGAATCATCCTCAGGTAATGTAGATTCTAGTTCGTTGAAATTATGATCCCCTGGGGTGTTAAATTTTACACCCCCCCCCCAACTTAAGTTAACTTTCAGTTCTGATCTGATATGTGTTTTTTTCCTAGCTGATGTGCTCAGGTGAGCGCTGTGGCCCCTGGGCCTCTTGTTAATTATTGTATTCCTGCATAGGTCAAGGAAAACTAAGGAATCACAAAGCTTTTGGGGTTGTTAAATTGCATGTTCAGGGCCAAAGATAAATTTGTATGCCTGTCAGGACTTCTAATAACAATGATGAGTTGTAAAAATTTTTAATCCAAAGTCATAAGATTGTTCGTGAAAAGAGCTGCAAATATTTGTGAGTCATTACATGTGCATTGAAAAATGTCTTCATTTATATGTAGACCATTTCCCTTACCCTTGATATTATCTTAAAGAGGATGCTAAATACAGGAAGAGACTAGGGCTTCATGGACCAATTTCATTTAGGATCAATTTAATTTTCTTCTTCATCTATGGATGAAGTATTCTAAAAATTCTGTTATCAGATTGTCTCTCCAGAAATACCCAAATTTTTTGGTTTTCTGCCAGTGAGTTTGTATCCATGTAGCACTGTACTTAAATTTATGTTTTTTATCTTTGAAACCTCCATAAAAAATTCCATTGGTCACTGCCATAAAAGAAGCCATATTAAGAATTTTTATCAGTTTAGTATTTGATTTATATAAAAATGTCCTTCACCAAGATTTTTCTATATCAGTTGTTGAAGGTAGTGCCCGAATTTTTACCGGGTACTCTGATTGCAGGGTCTCTGTTATCTGGACAAGGGTTTGCTGTGAACATTGTAAACATGGTCAAACACAGCAATAAAGTGATAGCTCTGACCTTTAAGGTCTATGTAAATAAAGATCAGCTTTGATAAAGGTCAGTGTTTGTTGGTTTAAACTTTAGGTTATCCAATGACCAGCAACATACGCTTGGACAAAGACCCTAGTCTGTGTTGACATCAGCCTCATCAGTTTGATAACCAAAAAAAAAAAACTCTGTTTATGTGAATTATGCTATTCTGCTGGACACCTTCTAAAAGACAAATTAGTTAATTTCTTAATTTTGGTGCATTTTACATTCACTGTCATTAACAGTAGCTTTGTGGTCTGTAACTTGATTTGTACTCCATATATTATGAAGTACTTATGAACTCACTAATTTTTTTCTTTTTGGGGGGGGGGGGGGGGTAATTTTTGTGGTTTTTGAGGTATAGAGAGACCCACAAAGAACTATATGCGGTATATTGCATATGTTTGCCCCCACAAAAGTCAAATTTTGAAAACTTCCTGAAATGTGCTGAATTCAATAAATTGTACGAGAAATATAAGTTAACGGAAAATATTATAGTTCCAGAGCAGTGTATTCACGATTTCTGTTTTTATGACGTCACAAACTAGTCCGATTTTATATCCTTTTTCAGAAAGAGGACAAAATGGACAAAATTTCAACAATTTAAGCTTTAGAATTTATAGAGCGCATGTGTGTTCAGGAACAATATTGACATATTTCATTGATATTATCATTGATATTATCATTCTACACATTATATCAAAATATTAATCCTGAACACACATGCGCTCGGTGACTTTTATTTAAAATATCGACGAAATATGTACATTTTTCTGCAAAATTCATAAAAAACTGAAATTTACGTCATATTTGTGACGTCATTACGTACATATGACGTCATTACTTATGAAATTATTCAGTGCTTCGAAGTCAGCATATACTCCCCTGTTTAAGGACTTAATTAAATATTACTCCATCAAAGTTTGATTTTGGGGGGCAAATGTTGGTTAATACCGCATATAGTTCTTTATGACCACCAGGAAATGTACAATTTTATATGCATTACTAATAAACATTTCCGACCACAAAATCAAATCTCAACAATGCAAACCTTGAAAATTGCCCCCCCCCCCCCCCAAAAAAAAAATATTAGATTTTACAGTATTTCAGAAAAAGTAAGAAAATGCATGCAGATTGTAAAATTTTCCCATGATGCACAATTTTTAAATTTTGAAACATTAAACAGACCATGCATTTAAAAGCTTTAATTTGGTAATGTCAAGTTTAATTCCCACAGTTAAAAAGGAGGAGGAGCACTCAATGTTTTTTTTTTTCAATAAGAGATTGAGAAAGATTTGTTTTTAATTAAAAACAACTGTATGATCTACAGTTACTAGGTGTTTAAAGGTTTGAGTTTCCAATCTTTATTTAAAACCAATGCAATAAAAGTTTTAAAATGCAATAAACTGTTACATAATTCTACACGTGAGATAGCCTTGAACACCATCAGACAATGGGGTCCCATTATAAACTATTCCAAGGTAACAGAGTGAAGGTCTGTACTCAGTTCAGGTGCTCAGAACATTGTACTTTCTTAATTCTTGCCATGAAAACAATTTATAAAAAGATTCAAGATATCAGATTCAGTTCAAAATGTTATCTTTTAGATTTATTTGTACGCGATGGCATTGTGGAAGGGAAGGTAAAACACATTTTAGAAATAGAGAGCCCTGAATTGGCAAGCTTTCCTAGCAACTTGAGAGATGACCCTAATGTAACCCTCCACTAATGGTTAATATAGGTATCCTATGAGCAGCATAATGAAAAATATCGTCACCCCAAAACTTGAACAGCAATCATTCATCATTAAGTTGTTTTATGGCTATAATACTTGTTCAAAAATGCTGGCAGGTCGGGCTCTATTTGGCAAAATTTTTTAGAGTGTTGACACTTTACATTTGCTGTGACAGATAATGAGGAAGGATTTAATTTCTAATATTAATGGATCTCTCCTGTTATATTTAATGTTAATTTTTATCCTTTTACAGTAGTTTTTGTTTTTCCACCTACAGTGTAATTTTATAGGCACGTTCACATCAGTAATGACATTTTAAAGTTTGCAAAACAAAAAAAAGAAAATCAGACTTATTTAAATGAAAAAATGACTGCACACATTCATGTTATCTGTTACCAGAAGGGGTTTTTGGGAATCTTTGTGAGTCACACAATCAGGATTAAGCCCGCTAGTCTGAATATGAATCAGCTGATTATAAAAATAAATCATCTGAATACAAGCAATACATTACTGTGAGAGGAGAAGCATAAAGTGAAATGCAAAAATCTTCCTTTTAATCCATTCTGTACAGATTTACAGAAATAACCCTGATGAAATCTGTTGTGTATTGAGCTTCGTGCCTTTCTGCATGCACTGTCTGTAGATGCTTGTCAGGTAGGGCTGAGTTGGCAGTTTTCAGGTAGTGTTACCTGTAATTTCATGTAACCTCAGTGTAAAGCATCGGCCAAGGCCACATCCAAGATTTATGTTTGGCTCTGTTTGATCAAACTCTAATTGATTTTTTCCACCCTGTGACTGGTTTTAGCATTTTGTCAAGGAGGGAATTGGAAGGGTGGATAGGATGAATCATGCAGCTAAATGTGGTAACCCTGGCCTATTGCATTGTGAACTAATAATAAAGGGAAGGGGTTAAAACTTTTATCTATGGAAAGGGCCCTTTCTTATTACTAAGGTGTTCTATAAGGTATTGCATATCTAGACCTCAGTGTTAGGCTTGCATGCCAACTCTGTATACATTAGAATTGATGTAATAAATATTCACTTTTTCATACCACATCATAAACAGGCTTTATAAATCATTTAAAGATGTTCACTTCAACTTTACCTTTCTTCAAGTGATATCATGACAATGTCTTCAGATTATACATTAGACAATACTGTCTCAGGGATATCTTTATAGATTTTAGAATGTCATTAATTTTCTTTATGTGCATTCTGATGATTCAGGAGCCAGACCAATAAGATAATACATATAATGCTTTCTTAAATGATTTACTTAGAAATATTTTGATTTCTGGAACACAAAACTTTTAGATGACTTCTAGCTTATTCTAGATACTACAGTCAAAACTGACTTAACAGCCACTTGCAAAAAGTCACTAAAATTTGCCCCCCCCCCCCCTCCAATTTGTCCTTTAATAGGGTTTCAGCATCTTCATATTTCAGAATATATACAATTATCCTACATTCTCTTTTTTTTTTTTACAGATATACGATATGGATTCAAACTAGAAACCCCTAAGAGAGCTCTTCACTGTGCTGTGGAAACGGAGGAAGAAAAATTCAACTGGATCAGCCTATTGGAACAGTCTATAAGATCAGCCATCGACATTCAGTGATCTGGAGCAGACCATTCAGTGGTGTTTACAGGGCCAGCATTCAATCACTGCCCATAATAAAAATATACACTGAGTATATAATCTATGCACTTTAGCTTTAAAATCAAATTTAGTCATCTTTAAGCTAATTTCATATTTTATAAAGTTAATTTGGATAAATATTTATAATGTTTTTGTTATCTACATATATACATGTACATTGCTGTATTTATTGATTTTTGAATAGATTTATCTTTATCTTATTAATTAATTTCACACTTTTTTTTTATTTTAAAGAAGTTATTCTTCATTTATATTTACATTTTTTTTATCTTTATTGTTTTGTCTGTGATATTTACCAATATTTGCTATTAGAATAGTGCTAGCTTAGTTTTTTGAGAATATTTTGTCTATATTGTACCTTTTCATTTACCTGACCATATTAGAGGCTTCATTGTCAATCAAACTTAACCATTATTTTATCATTGTTAAGTGTATATCTTTACTGCTATGCTCTGGCAATTTATAAGGAGAACAGCTTGTTTTTTAAAAAAATTCAGAAATTAGCATGTAAAAACAGAAAAATATTTTGTATATGTGCAAGTGCTGTGAACACACATTTTAAGACACCTTTATTTTCACAAAACTAATTTTTAACTTGTGCCCAGATGGCATTTTTTGCACACAAAGCACCTCTGTTGTTTTTCTCTATTTACTGTATTCCCTCCTTCCATTTTTGTCGGCCATGTTTGTTCAGGGTTTTACAATGCAGTACTGTTGAATTTTTGTTTGTGTATTTATATATCTGTCTTCTTTGTGATATTTTATTATGATGGACTGTTCTTTGTTACATCAAGGTCTTTTCCTATTGTTGATTTGATCGTTCCTGTTGATATATAAGTACAAAACAAATATTTACTGCTATATGCTGGAAGTTTAAAACATATTGATTTCCTCATTATAAATGATAGTTGTTTATTAACATATAAACCTGTGATACTTCTACTCACCAGGGTAGATTTAATATAGTTTGGTAGAGATTTAAATGGTTTTAATACACAATTGCTGTAAGATCATGTGTCACTAAACTATATTTATTTGAAAGAGAGCACTACCACAATTTTATTTTTTATTTTAAAATTTATTTTTAAAGATTTTTCCAATTTTTTGGAAATCACAGATATGTTTATTATTGACATGATAAAATTTATTTTAAGACAAATTTCCGGTGAATTATAATACCGCAAGTAATTCATTGACGTGATGTTCTATTTTTTTAAGATAAGCTACTTTAAAAAGTATGAATTTCACAAGTTTATTAGTAAAATGCATACGTTTAATATGCATAATAAGTGTCCAGTGTGATTTGATATAATTGAGCTGATATATGGAAGATTTGTGACCTGCATAATTTGTTTGATTGCACTGCACCTCTTTGTTGTTTGTTTTCTTAGTGTGAAATATTCACTTGAAGTTGCAAGATACTGTATACAGGGAAATTTTCGCCCCCGTTTTATTTTCGCCCCTTTCGCCCTACTCTCGTTCGGGCGAATTTAAAACGGGGCGAATTCAAAGAATACAGTATAATTTCTTAAACAAAACTATGATTGGGCGAATTTAAAACGGGGCAAAATTGTTTGCAAGTGTAAAAGGGCGAAAATAAGACGGGGCAAAAATAACCCTGTATACAGTATTTTTGGAATGGATGATATTCAATCTCCTGGAGATTTGTAATGACATCTATCCAAAGCCAAGAATGACGTCAGTTTGTCCTAGATTTACACTCAGATTGGAGTCTAGCTGTGTATTGATGTTTTATATAATTAGATATCAACTGACTGCTTACAATCAGATATTTTGTGTAGACTTGATCTAATGAACAGAATGTTATGAATTTCTGGATTTTTATGATACAACATTTGTATGTTTTTCTTCAAATTATGGTTATTTTTCATAGAATGTATAGGGATGAAAAGAAAACATTGAATAGCTTAATAAAATTTTCATTTTTTACACCCTCCAAATTTGTGTTTATTATTTGATTATGTAAGAGGCAATGTTTAAGGAATCGAGAGCTGACATGCAAAGGATTGACATGCCATTTAAGACAGCAGGCATTGCAGTGGTTTCTTATCTGAAAACCAGCAGGCCATCTATATATATTATATATAGCTAGACCTTACCAGATTGTTAAAATTGTATGCATTTATAAAACAAAGGTTCAGCTAAATCAAGCCATTTTATCATGATCTGTCGGTAGGAATTTTAGGGCAGTTGTTAAATCTTTATCCTTAGTTCACTTTAAAAAGCTTGGTCAGGTAAAGATCCAGGATATGAAGGAGGTGATAATGTTAGGGGGCACCTGAAGGGAAGCTCCTGGATTTTGAGATTTAGTTTGGGGGAAGGGACAATGTCTTCTATTTTGATTATTACTTTTTGTCATAATTAGAATTAATAAACCTATATATGCATAAGCACTAACCATTTATAAGTTATAGCCAATGTTAAAGTTATTCAAAATTAAGTAGGTTAACTTTCATTATCAAAATAAGGGCCAAAATTGCTGGTATCCAAGGGAAGATATGCTGAAATTCTAAAAACCTAGCACTAATCAATGAATTGTTATGACCAAGGTTAATTTTTTTTTTCAAATACAGGCCAAAAGTCCAAGGTCAAAAATTGTTCCTACTCTAAAGATACATGTAGCCATGTTACAAGGAACACACTTTGAAATATAAAAGACCTATCACTAATTGTTCAAAAGTAATGGTCAAGGTTAGAGTTTTCTTTAATGTAGGTCAAACTTCAAGGCCAAGGGAAAAGTCAAAACATTTGTAACCAAGGAAAGATCTAACGCAATTAAGGAATATACGTGAAGTAGGAAAGCTTATGTAGCCCTAAGCGTTCAAAAGATATGGCCAAGGTTAAAGTTGGTTTAAATTTTACAAAGAGTGGGTCAAACTGCAAGGGCAAGCTGGTCAATAGGTCAAATACATGTATAATGGTTCTGTGAAATATTACATTCATAGCTACTACCAGTAAATGTGTTTATGGACAAAAAGTTTTTGGGGACAAACAGTCAGACGGAAAGAACAAAAACTATATGCCTCCGAATCTGTGATTACGTTGGCATTATAAAATGCCCTCCTTTCTTTTTTTCAATATGCAGATAATTCAGAAAAAATTACGCGGGGCATATGTATTTTTTCTCCAACAGCTGCAACATTAAATTTCCATACAAAACAATTAACTTAAGAATACATTTTATTGTTTTAATAAAGTCTTATTTATGCCCATATATCTGATAAAAAAAAAAGACAGACAGAATCTGTTGAGAATTGTAGGGTTGCGCTGCTCGTTCAAATCTCGGTTGATTCGAACCGCAAGAGCATGCTCTACATGTTTTTATTTAATAACGAGGTAAGTTATTGTCAAACAAGATACTGAAATAAGAATATCAGCAGTCTAGTTTAGAGTCATCGTTTCGTAAGTTCTATGGTTGATACAATGACCTTGTCAGCAAATACAATTTATAAGTCAAATGTTGATTGACGTTTTGATACTAATTGTTAGTCCATTATGATAGTACACAATGAATTTGTCGATGGACTTTTTCGTTATTTCCCGACCATGATAAGGAGCACACGGCGTGTGTACCGGTCGGCAGGGGATGCTCATTCCCCCATGGCACCTGATCCCAGCTCTGATGTTTGGAGGTCCGTGTTTGCTCGAATACGTACTGTTCGTTATCTCCATAATTTCAAGCCCCCGTTATATAAAAGAACTTTAAAACTGACAATGATTTCTTTTAAAAAAATGTTGATTAAACTGTTATTTTAATGCGAAAAGAAATTAGTTATTTTAGATAAGTATAATTTCATAAAATTGTGAAGTTGGTGAGATATACATAGAACTAAGCCTGTGAGGGGAAATTTGCTTCTATACTCAGGATTAGATAATCGTAAATTTTTTAATAAAAGACTCTTGTTTACAGTAATCTCAGTGAGATTTCGTGTAGTTCTCAGTCCAAATATTTTAATTTCAACGAATTTCGCTGAATTGCGAACTCCTTGATAAAGTATACTAGCATAGTTTTAGTATAAATATGGATGTAGATCTAATTTCCTTTTCATTCTTTACAACCGCTGTCTGGTGCCTGTGCAAATTTCTTTTCATTGGTAGATTCAAAAGAATCATCCAATCCCCCAACCTATGATAATATATTCAATTGTTAAAAAAATGAATTCGTGCCAAAGATATAAATAGAATGTCAAATTTTTAATTTAAAAAAATGTAATTTACCATCTTTAATATATTGTCTTGAAATTGAAATAGATCAATTTTGCCTCATTCTTATATAAATTGATAAAGGCATCCCTTTTGAATTATCTATTTATAACGAAAATTTTCCGCTATCCGTTCAATGGTACACGTATTGGAAAACTTAGCCTACTAAAAATAAATTACTTTCATTTCTCGTTTTTCATTGGGCGTAAAGGAGGGTAACTCCGCCCCCTAATGGCAAGGTCATCGCTAGTTGTGGAGAAGTCTTCTCGCTGTTCATGCCGTTTTTAATGCGAAATTATCAAAAACAACCCTTAAAGTTTCTGAGTATACAAAGGTATGTTTCTTTGCATTATTTTTGAAGAAACCTCTTTACTGTGCATTGTGTAATTTCTCTTTTATTCATGAGCGCAAAAACGTTTTAGGTATGACACGGGCTTTACAGGTCTATGTAGCTCGGAGTAATCTACCTGGCCCTTCAAATCAGCTGATAGGTTGGTATGCTATAAACAGATAACATGCAATACAATATGGCAAAGGGTACCTGTTAAAACAAAAGCAAACTTTTTACATTTAAAGCATTTCTTACAAGAATGTTTTTTCTGTTGCCCGTATGACGTGTTTTGTGGTTCAAGCATGTTACTAGGCCTATCTCGCGCCCCGTGTATTATTGCATCATCACTGCCCAAAGCACATGTCAAGCAGAAATTGCTGACTAAGCAAAGTTGCTGAATTGGTTGATGATTCCATTATTTTCCTCAAAACATTGAACGTGTATTATCCGAATTTCCTCGAAAGAAAGTAGGTCAAATTAATTAGGCCTACTTCTGTATTAGAAAAGTAAGGCTGTCATGTGATAACTGGTGATATTAACTGGTAGGCCTACAGTTTTCAGACATTTCTCATTTTAATTTTATATAATGATTATATGTATATTTTTAGTGATTATGTTTAGCCCAACTTTACTTATGTTATATCAAGGTTAAACCTTACTACTTTTTGTACATATTTAATGTTAATGACTGAAAAAAGATTATCTGATTCTTTCCCTGTTGGTCAGGTTTTGTATCCAAGCGGCTGTGTTTAATGGTTCAAGAGGTCCATGTTTTGAATCTAAATAGTACATTGAATATTCTTCCTATCTAATCTAGTATATATTAAAATTGTTTTTTTCTTTGTTGAATTCATTGGAATTTGCAAAGCAGAAATGTTCATGCTGCCAGTCTTAAATAATTGTCATTGGTGTGTCTGGTGGCAGAGAAGTATTGGAGGGAGGTGGGGGGGGGGGGTAAAAAGAATTCATCACTATGCTCAGTAACTTGGCTCACTCTCTACCATCAGCTCATACCTTTTCCTTTGTCATTGTCTTGCATACCCAGGATTTTTTTTCTTTTCGAAGGGGTCCATCCCATCAAAATTCAAAAAAAAAAAAATCCAGAGATCTGCATAACAGAGGTTAATGTTTTCTTGGGGAGGTAGGGCCAAGGTCAATCACAGAAAGTTCCAGTGTTTGAAGCCCTCCTCCCCCTCCATGATTCAGATATGTTGATAATCATGAGAAATAATGCATTTGTTTTATTGTATTCATGATTGTTATCAAATGTATATGTGCTAAATGTTTGTTATTTGAAGATAGATATTTACTGAATAGATCTGAAGCTATTTGTTTAAGCTGAAATAATCCTTCACTTGAATTATCATGTTATTTACCTCATTCTAAATTATTAATGTGACTCCCTAAGTTGAAATGACTTGCAGAGAACAAGAAATAAAGAACACAGGACACCAGAAGTACAGCCTTCTATAATGTGGGTGGGGTTGGGGGGTTTCTCAAAATTTTGGTCTAATCTGTCATCCTCTCTCCCTATTGTTGCAGTAGCAAGTATTAATTAATTTGAATGCATTTCATTATAATTTCATGCATGTAACTTTTGTTTTAATTTTTGTGGACCTATAGGGCTTTTGATCCATTCTGCAGCTAGGGGCAGAGAAAACCAAATCTATGTTTACTAATACTTTTGTTTAGCAGCTTTGTTTTGGAGTTCCTTAAATATGTACTATTAAAAGCAAAATTTATTAAAACAAAATTGCATTGTACAGCAAAACTCGGTTATAACGAAGTCACTGGGACCTATGAAATAACTTCGCTATATCCGTAATTCGTTGTAACCGTACAAGAAATTCATTAAATTTATATAGCTGGGAATCAATGATGACTTCGCTATATCCGTAAATTCGCAATATCCGCGTTTGCGCTAATAAAATGAGTTTTGCTGTACATGTTTGACCATATTATTTATCATTTTGTATGACTCAGTATGAATAAAATAACTAGAATATGGATATTTGCATAACATATATTTAAGATGATTGAAAACGTGTAACAATTGCATTGTGATATGAAAATGTGAAAGATCAATTTGGATGACTCAATGTCCTAGGACAGCTACTGCCTGTAACAGGTGGACTGACAATGGCTATTGCTCATTTTGTTTATAAAAATCTACTGTACAATGCAGTAAGGGGGTAAAAATACAGTAAAGGCAAGAAGAACAACACATGGGGGCTAATGAATCAATGTCCAGGAACAGGTTGACACAATTTTTTTAAAAATGAAAAATTCTTTGCAACATATGATTGTAATAACATTTCACATCATAAATTAAATTCAGTTGCACCTTTTTTTTTTACCCAGGAAAAAAAATCTCCCTCTGGCTTCACCCCCACCAAACCTCTTTCCCATTTTAACAGTTAATTAATCTACACAACATTTTGAATAAGCTGCAAAAATAGGTTCCTAGTGTATTAAAATCAGCCACACATTTATATAACTTTACTCTAGATATCTAAATGTCAGTAGAATTGCAAAATATGTACTTGGCAGAGAAAACTGTGTTAGTATTTTAGTAATACATGTAATCTATTCAAAAAAATGGCCATTTGTTAGCTGTCAACCTTTCTCCATTAATGGCTAAGTAAAATCTTTGGGACATCAGGTCTATGAAAGTTTTCTGTTAAAATAAAAAGACATTTCAAGTTTTGATGTTATCTTTTATCTGAATGTTGTATCCTGGTCAATGGTCTGTCACAATTATGTACATGTATTTGGCATTAGAGCTTCCCTTACTTCCAGAGTAAACTAGCGTTGGTGTTGGATAATTGAACCATACCTCCTCTGCTATTATCGTGGTTATTAAATTGATTTTTCAAACACGTTAATGCAGCTGAGAGAAGATAAATGTTCAGTTTATTATCAGTAAAAAAATGTATAAAATCCTTTGCATCTTTCACATATCTTGTTTACTGTAAACCCTCATTATAGTGAAATCGACGGGATAAACTCTGATATATCCAAGGGTTTGAGATATTGAAGTTAAAATACATACGTTAAAGAAAAAGGGGTTTTGGACTTCAACCTCACTTTGACATATCCGTGGTTTTGAGATCTTTACATCTGAGATAGTGTTTATATTTTTTTTCGTACAGGATAAAACCTTGATGGCATCTACTGTAAGCCGGAATGGTGTCCGAGACGAAGACTCCCTTCGCTTCTTCCATGTTCTGGCGAGTCGAGACCCTAATGCTAGAAAGCACGGGTTTGACATGATCAAACTGACATTAGACGCCTGGGTAAATGGCTATGGCAGTCCAAAGGACAGAATTATAGTGGACAATGGGAACCCCCTCCCCATCAACCCGTTAGTGGAGGAGCATCTACCAGACATTCTCCGACTGTCCACCAACTGTCCGTTTGAAGACGTCAGGGAGTGGTGTACAAATCTCCTGGCCGACATACAGGTAGGCTGATGATTATTTCCTACGTTATTTTAATCTTACACCAACAAGGACTAGTTGATCAACATGGAAATGTGACTTGTGTCATGTTCAACACCCTGTTGTCCTCTTGTTCTTGTGTTAAGTGCCCCCATGAAATCTTCCTGAATGTGCAAAATGATCCTATATTTTACAGGCAATAATATGGTATTAAATGTTATATGGGGAAAATCATTTGAGACAACAAGCAGAAAAAGTCTTCATTATTATGCATGATTAATGTCTGTTTAAAAATTCTTACTGAATGAAGTAAAGGTCAACATTTTTGTGAACATCTCTCAAAACACATGTACTTTTAAGAAATCAAAGAAATCCATTAACTATTCAATATTTATCCTCTAAAGCATGTAAATTCAAAGTGAAGGAGAAAGTTAGGTTCATTTGTACCGAACAAAGTGCTATATATAATTTATGTCATCTGAACCCTTACTTTTTAACATTTGCATAAGACTTCATTCATTTAAAGTGATATTTAAAGTATTATGTAAACTTTTATTTGTCCCCTTTAAAAGCAGATTTAAATGTAGACTAGGAGGAAAATTTTAAAAACATTGGTGACTTGTATGTCTGTAGATATATAGAACTTATAATAATTTAAATAAAATTCTGTGTTAAGTGTTTGGACCAATCCTAAGTAAACTGGAAACATTTTAATCCATTGTGATCAGCCCAATCCCAGGTTAAGCATGTCTAATGTACTGAAATTAAAGGTGTAATCGTGATCTCTATTGCATCAGTAATCTGCACTTCAATACGGATATTCTTTGTACTGTAATTATGACGTAACATATTTGATCAGTATATCCCTTATTGAGTGTCTTTTATGTAAATATATAGAAAACGGGGAGATGATATTCATTGAAGATAAAAAAATAAACAGTCCTGTGTATTAATATAAAGACTTGAGAGAGATTTTACAGTAGCTAAGATCACATTGTCCTCTTTCTCTAATTTGTAACATAGCACTTAAACACGGAAGACAGCTTTTTATGTCAAGATCATCATTGTATTTCATTAGATTAAGGATGTACATTGTATCATCTTATAAAATTGGGCTTCTGTATGTATTATATATTACAAACCTTTGTTCCTTTTACGTATAAAGAAGTAACTACTATTTGAGTTCAGGATGTGTAGGTTTATATCTACATCATCGCCGCGTTCTTCTTCCTGCGTAGTTGCGGTCAGTTTATCAGTCAAGTAGAATGCACTGGTCATAGTCGGGGATCTTAAGTCCTTCCTATCCTCTTTTTAAGTCGCAGTATGAAATACACACAAAAAAATTGATTTAAAAAAATGCATTGTTCATAGAATTGTATTGAAAAAAGAAATGTATTTTTTTGTACTCTTAGTTCAGGTGCATCATTGTCATACAATTTGAACCACCTGTAGAATATGAAGATTAGAAAATATATATCACTCAATTTCTAAACTTGAATATTAAAGGTTACAGGGGTCCCAGAATTTGATCTATTGGTAAATGGTTATGCAAGAATTTTAGTTTAATTTTCAATATGACCTATACAAATATTGCCTAAAGATAATGAAATTAATTTCCAAAAGAAAATTGCTGATAATATATAAATGTACAGATTTGGTTCACCATGCAGTTAAAAAGTGATGAACGGTATTCAAATTTAAAATGCCATGAAATAAACTGGAAAATTGATCTAAAGACTTAATGTAATTCTTAATAGACTTCTAAATAAAAGAGGACCTCCCACTCACAAAGTAAAACTGCTGATGGGTAAATTCAAAACACTACTGGTAAAGTTATAGATTTAAGCTCTGTATTGTTACTGAAGCAAGTACATAGCTATTGGTATCAATACAGAGTGTTTGTATGGCCACCCTTGAGCCAAACTCTAAATATTGACATTCCTTTTTTGTTCGATTGGCCTTTCTATTTGGAGAATGCATGGCTGGTCTTTTCCTGCTGGGTCTGGAAATAACTACCTGTGCATTCAAAAATTGTTAACCTTATAAATATTTTAATTAATAGCAAAATTAATCTGTATACTATTAAATATTCGGAAAGTTCAATGTATAACTTTTTGTACTAATTAAAAGACTTGGCAGTAATTTTTGTAAGTGTAACTAACCTTTATACTAATTCCTGTGAAACATTTTGTATTTATAAACTCTTTTAGTATAACTGGATAACTGTGATGCTTAATTCTTTTGTAGGCTAAATTAATAAAGTTTAGTTGGCAGTTAATTAAATGACTTTTAAAATCAATTCTTTAATGCATACAGTCTAAAAAAATAACATTATTCCATATTTTTCTAGAATTTTCTAGCAATCTCTCAGAGGTTTGAAAAGAGGGTCTATACTTGAGTTATCTTAAATTTGCTCAATGAGTTTAATATCATTATATGTACAGAATGTACACTGACTTATTTATACAACAGTACATATTTTAATTTCATTTTTCCAGCATAAAATGATCCACATAATTTAAATATCCCATTATTAACATTAGCATTAATAATGTAATACTGAAAAGCAATTAATATTCCATATACAAAGTAAAACCAAAAATAAAAGATGTAAATTAAAAAAAAAAAGAAATTTACATTTGATTATGATTTTTGAGTGTTTATTGTCATATTACATTTTTTCCTGTTTTTAAAGGATTTCTGATCACATATTATCTGGGTTTCTTTCTTATTATATATATTTATATCAGTTTGACAAATAAGTTACGTAAAAATGCCATTCACATGTAATGTAAAACTGTGTCTTTAACCATTATCAAAAAGTCCCAAATATAGTTACAACGCAATTTATAAACGTAAACATTCACGCTCTGATAGGCATCTCCGATGGAACGATCCTTGAAAATATTTGGGTTATTTATGATAACACAGATTTATAGGCAAAAACAAGCCCCACCAGAAAATGCCGCTGAGTTTCTGCCCCATTATATATAATGCACATTAATTTCGTGTAAAAAATGTAACTGGTAAATATTCTCTAAAAGTAATTTCCATGCTTGTACTATATCAAGGAGCACGAAGGGGTTTTAGATTTTAAAAAATGACAACCAGTTTGAAAAAAATATAATATATGGATTCCATAAGTTTTTTTTTTCAAAATTTTAATGAAGAACAGATCTTATATGTGACATATGATCTCAGTTAACCTTGAAGGCAAGACTACTGCTGCAAGGGAAAAGACAGAAATGTTACGTTGCTTAGCGGCATATTATTTGAAGCCATATTTTATCACCTGTTAATTCTCAGTTCATGACTTCAGACTTCCGAGTTTTTATTGAAATCGTTGAAATACTTTTCTGAGATAAAGGGTCTAATGGTTGCTGTTTTTGTCTTTGTTTAGATTTAATGAGTATTTTACAGCAATCATTTACACGTAATATCTTGAGGCATAGTCTTGATTATTTTGCCAAATAGAATATTTAAAAAAAATCACTACAATGAATGGTATAGCTAGGTTAAAAATCAAACCCCAGGTGCAGATTAAATTGAAATTTGACCTGTTACATCTCTAAATTCTGTATAATTTAAAGGTTTAATAACAGATTAAATGCTTTAATTAGGTTGGTCTGTCCATTTGCAATCATGTTGCAGTTTTGTTTTAAAACTCTGTAAACCTGTGGTTACTGGGTACATCTAGTGTGGTCATGTTTAAATCAGATTGGTTTAATCAACAGGTACTCAGCGTTAGTTGAGAAACTTTTGAAGCAACTTTAAATGATGTTAGGACGATTAACAAACACCAATTAACTTAATGTGTTAATTCTGTCACCACTGATCTTTTGTTTATTAGTATTGTTCAACTTAATACTGTCAAACTAGTGTTCCATATAACAACAAATATCAAACATTTTAGAGGTAGAATACCCCTGCCAATTTTAACTTGTGTTAATTCTGTCACTTCACTGATCTTTTCTTTTATATATTGTTCAGCTTTACACTGTCAAACTAGTGTTCCATATAACAACAAATATCAATTGAAATGTAATCAAAATATGCCCCACAAAAACAACAACCATCATCATGGCTTTTTCCTTGCAGGTCTTTCACCCTTTTCTCTTCCAGAGAATAGTTCTGCATCCAAATGTAACTTGCATTAGGATAAAATGCAAGAGATCAGACCAGGATTTATTTTTGGCCATTTAGCTGAATGACTAGTCTTAGCTGGTGCCCTACCATCTGAGCCTTATGGCCGCTGGTGATCAGACCTGTCTGACCAACACATCAGAATTATGGAGTCTCCTACTTTGTATATATGTACTTAATGACCAAGAGTAGTGGTTTTGTTGGTGCCTTTTGCAGGAAGTGTCCATTTCTCACCAAATGACATGTGGTTTGCCTACACACATCTGTCAAACAGAAATGTCATATCACTGAATATGTAATACATGTAATCAATTACATGTAACTGTTTTTATTTTTTTTAATGGCAAGGGTTAGAACTTTTTTCTTCTTTTTAATGCCCCTGTTATTAAAGATTTCATGGTATATAGTTTTTGAACTGTCCATTGTAATGTCTGTCAATCTGTTTGTTTGCAGATATTTTAACCTTGCCCATAACTTTTGACCCAGGGTGGGACAATGGTTTTCGTATTTCAAAGGTGTATTCCTTGGGACTGTGAAGAAATTTCTTTGGGTATCACCAAATTTGACCTCTTGACCTTGATGGAGTTTGCTCATAACTTTTACTAAGTGTCGTGGGTGAGCTTTGGCTATTATATTTCACAGGTGCAATCCTCAGAAATTTTAAGACCTTTCTTTTGGTGCCACCAAATTTGACCTCTTGACCTTGGACTTTGGTCCACTTTCATAAGAAAATACCAAACTATAACATTGGCCATAACTTTTGAATATTTGGTTCTAGGGCTTTCAAACTTAACATATGTATTCACTGTGGCAAGACCTTTTAATTGGTATAAATATTTTTGACCTTGACCTTAGAGTTTGACTCCCTTTTAAAAATCTTTAACCCAGGCCATAGCGTTTGGATAGGTAGTACTAGGGCTTTCATATTTCACAGCTGTATTCTTTGTGAAAAGACCTTCCACTTGATATCTACAATTTCTAGTATTTTCCTTTAACTTGACCTTGGAGTTTTACTTGCATTCAAGAAACTTCAACCTTCACCATAAGCTACCATTATATGGGGGCATTAGTTTTTGACAAACACATCTTATTTTCTAAGATTTGTGTCTATCTTTTCACAGTTTATAAACTGAATATGTATTTAAGTTATATATCTGTAAGTTATGAAAGACTTGTTAATAATAAGGTTTATTTACTCATCTGACGTGATGAAATTTCAATTTACAATTCTGCAACAAAGTAAACATGCAGCTATGATTAACAAATGTCAAAAGACTGAAGGATCATGCATCACTTTGTTATGTTTATATTATACTATAGCTGTAAATGTGACAGCCACCTGCAGCTGGTTGATGAGGGGTGCCCTGGGGGTCAGATGTAGGTGTTGAGGGATACAGGTCAGACCCCCTCCAGGTTTTTGTGTGTAACAACATCCTCACAGGGGTCCCCAGTCCATTAGAATGTAAAAGTTATCGGAAACTTTTCTAACCCTGATGGAGTCCTGTTAATTATAGCAGAAGTATTGATCTAATAATAAAGTGGAAAAGTTTTATTCAGACGAGTGTTCATTAAGGTCTATTTGGTCCTAATTAGTCGTATGTTTCTAGGGTGTAAATATATTGTTGTTTGAATAGTTCTTGACTGATTTTTTTTGTTTCTGAGACCTCTTTTACTGAAAGATATAACTTTGTCAGTTTTTGAGTTTTGAGTCTCGAATTAATTCATTCTGAATAATTTTCCTGGTACTCATTAGTATGCATTTTTTCTAGGCAGACATGCTCCATGTGAGTGGATGGGGGTCTATTTTTGCGAGTTTTGTACAAATAACTATTATCAATGCAATTCCCAAGTTCACCAATTAAGTAAAACTTAGCTTGAAAAAGTACAGTACAAGTAAGGAAATATCATTCATAGATACTTTTTGCTGTGTGTCCTTTTACTACAAAGTAGGAGTTTCCCATTCATTATCAGTACACAAACATCTTTCACCAATTTTTCAGGGCTTTATAAGAAATTCAGATTCCAAAATAAACAATTCATGGTTGCAATGATGTTATTAAAAGTTTTTCTTCCTTTACAAAATTTATAGTTCTGCTTCTTGTGGAGGGAACAAAAAAAAAGAATGTTTGACTTTTAAAAAAAAATTTCCTTTATTCTGAAAACTGAAGAATCCAATTTGGAATCTTTGCGTGCACATAGGCAAATTGATTTCTTCACTTGAAGATATTTATGAGAAACTTTATAGAGTTGCACATAAATATCTTTCAGTGAAGACATCTATTTGCCCATGTGCACCAAAGATTCCTGACTGAAATGTCATTGGAATTGCATTCTCTTTATCCACAACAGACTTGAAATGAATGATTTATAATTGAAAAGTGGATTTTGTTGTTGTTATTAGTGACTTTTTAAAGTGCAAGAAGTGAAAAATTTAAAATATTTAGAGCAAAAAGAGACATCTAGCTATTTTTTTTTTTCAAAAATGTTTAAACTGGATTGAATTCAAGCTAATAAATTAGTAACTGTGCAAATACTTTGTTCCTTTAAAGAGATAAAATTTAATACCAGTAACACTCCTTTAAATATTTTATTATTTTATTTTTCTTTAAAAACACAAATACATAATTGCGATGTCAGATATTTTTGTGACTCTCAGAGATTTCCATCAGGTCTGAGCCTTTATAGGATTTCTTTCCTGCTGCTTTCAGAGAAAAGGTTTTAAGTCCTTTTAAAGTAAAATTAGGTGCTTTTGACCTCATTTTACCTGGTGAATTCTTTATGTTGTCTTTTCATTCTCCTGTCTATGAGGCTCTAAAAAGTATCATGTTTTGCAAAATTTTCAGATCCCCCCCTTCCACTTGAAATATATAGGCTTGCTGATTCAGTCTATATTTGATGAATGTTTCAGCCCTTCTTGTGAACTTTCCTGTACTAACAATTGGCTCCAAGCTAATTATGAGTGTCACTTGTAAGAAGATGTAATTCACATCAATACATCAAGATTTTGTGGGACAGTTTTATCAGACCCCCCAGGAAGCTGTCAGTGATCAGCTGATTCAGGGGCCTTATCTATGGTGTAGAGATTCTAGTCCTTTGTTTAAATTATCTAGTGTTGTTTTCTTCAAGGAATCATCTGTCTATTTCAGTATCTTTTTTTAGCATTCTTTGTTTTAAAGCTGGAAAGGGAAGAGCATTGTAAAAATATTTGCATTGGTGTAGACATTGTTAATGATTATTTTGCAACATTTTCTGTCATTAACGAGATCTCGGTGTTTATCACGATTTTAAGCACTGCATTGATTGACAGAGTAAATGTAACATTCAGTTTGCTATTTCTCTTAGATATTTAACTTTTTAAAGCACAGAATGTGCCATATCATAGCCATCCATAAAAGATACATTTTCAAAAGAATTTTCTTTTAATATTACTTGAATAAAATTGTGTAAATAAAGGGCAGACATGAAACACCTTTTAAAATTGGTTTTGATAAATGACATACTGTTTGAATGTTATTAACAGATTTGCTATAAACTTGTCACTAGGTGGCTTAGCTTTGTCATCGTTCAGGTACACAGGTAACCTGTCAGGTATATAAATGACTGATGGGGGATTAGATCAGCTGATCGCCCATATCAGCTGATTTCACTTCACAGCTGATTCATGGTCTAAAAATAGATTTAGAAAAACTTTCACCTGATTTGAATCCTTGTCTTAATATTAAAGAAGATTGTAATATAAGAAAAGGTCCTTGATCTTGCCTTGATATTCTTATGAGTGCATTTTATAAACTCAAATTTATCGGTATAAGCATTGCTAATAATTTGCACATTATTTTAAGATTTTGTGGACATAATGTAAACTAGGCCCAAAAAAGATGACAAGCATTAATCAACCTTGCTGTCATTTGACATTTATTGTTTAATATGATAATGATGGTGTTTAGTAAATGTAATCATTGATTGATTTTTTTATTGATTATTTTGATAGGAGAACTGCAGTAGCATTAAGATCCCCAGGAGAATTTATGGCAAGGGACCCAGTAACTTTATTCCAGAGTCAGAGGTAGGAATATTATTGTTATGGCACGCCAAATTCACAGAAATGAGCTAATCATAGTTTTACAGTCGATAAACTAGGTTTATCGACTGTAAACTATTAGTTTAAGTTCCGTAAACTACAGTTAACGATGATAATCTATATTTCACATCTGTAAACTATAGTTTACGTGATAATCTATATTTCACATCTGTAAAATATAATGAACACTGAAAACAACCATTTGGGACTGCAAAATATAGTTTATTTGATGAAAATAGTTTCACAATTTTTTAAACTATAATTATAACAACATTTAAGTATTAAATGTAAATGATAGTTTACAGATGTGAATCAGATCTGTGTTTATCAACAAAAATCTATCGTTAACATTTAATTAGAGACAGATGAACACTTAGATTAGCATTCTTAAACTATAGTTTACAGCTGTTAAATATTGTTTTACAGATGAAAACTATAGTTAACGAATAATTACGAATTGTTAACACTAGTTAAGGGTTCGTAAACTATACTTTACAGTCGATAAAACTATATTTAACTCATTTTTATGAAATTGCATGGCTTGCCATATATTGTGTTAAACTTAACATCAAGGACAAAGAATGTGGAATAAATTCCCAATATATCCCAGCAACCATTGTGTGCCATAGAAATAGTTTAAATTGCATGGCTTGCCATGTATTATGTTAACATCAGGGGCAAATGAATGCTAACAAACTATACTCTAACAAACTACATTTACTATCAAACCACTCTTAACAAACTACTATTAAACCACTCTAACAAACTACTATCAAACCATTCTAACAAACTACTATCAAGCCATTCTAACAAACTACTATCAAACCACTCTAACAAACTTCTATAAACCATTCTAATAAACTACTAACAAATCACTGGTATAAATTCCCAAATATATAAAACAGTCACATTTTGAAACAACCATTGTGTGCCATAGCAATTCCAAGTCAATAGTTTATCATGATACAAAACCTGGATGTTCTTTTTCAATACATTTATTTGAAAAATGATCACTACAATAAAAAAACGAACAATCTAGATCAACTGGTAGAGAAACTCAAATCGCTGAAATTTTGATACATGTGATCCACACTGAAAAAGTTGAGAGATATACTATGAAACACTGTTAGACTTGAAAGAATTTATTGGTTTAATAGTAGTTTGTTAAAAACTTATTAAAATCTTAGAAATAGTTCGTCCCAGGAGGAAATAAAAGTTTATTTACATTACTGAATAATGCAAATATATGTATCACTGAGATTTGTAGAATTGTAGGATAAATTACGTAACAGTAGAATCATTATTGTACATCAAATGTTTTGAGAAGCATTATGAAAGCTTTCAAGAACAGCAGGGGAAAAAAACTCCTGAATTGCACCTTCATTTTATTCCTTATTTAAATTAATTAGTTAACCTGCATTATTTTATAGTCAAATGTTGTAAAAGTTCATTGCAATATATGTGCAATATCCCTTTATCGGCGACTCACATGGCCAGGAGCTTCAAGTTCTTTGTACATTATTGTATACAATACTGATTACGCATGGTTTCCTGAAGATATGTTAACGAACGATAGAAATTATATAACATAATACATGTATATCAATTGCTTTATGAATTTATGCAAAAGTCAGATAGGAAAGCTAATACTTGTATGAAGCAAGAAATCTTAGAAATGATGCAAATATATGTATCACTGAGATTTGTAGATGTAGGATTTACCATATAATCCCTATTAACCGAGATTGTCAGGAAATGATATTATAGGTGAAGAATTTAATCATAATAGAAAATGAAACTTTGTTATTAGTTAAAATAGAATTAGTAAAAGATTTTTTAGAACGACCTAATCATATATTTTAATTCTACAAAACCTAATTTCTATATCATATCATAATTTGGATGGATTATTGTAATTTAAAGGACGGTTAGATTTTTACGTTATTTGTTTTTTTTTTTTTTTTCAAAAGATTTCTTGAAGTTAAAATAAGTCAAAATTTTACAAAATGATCAAAATTTTCTGCCGTTGAGGGGAATTCAGGAATGCACTTCCTTATAAATTAATTAGTTAACCTGCATTATAATCTTCATTGCAATATAGTGCAATATCCCTAAATTAATTGCATTTGAAGCAAGAAATAGCAAGGAGAAATGTAGAAGTTTGTCTAGTTTAGTAATTAATTATTTTATTTGCCGGCTTCTTTTAACTAAATTAATTGCATTTATAGCTGTAGAAGTTTGGCTAATTAATTATTTTCTGAATGTATAGCTGAACAGTCTTGAAATACGACATCTGTGCCCAAGTTAATTTATCACAAAAGAAGAGTTCCATGTGTAATTGGAAATGTATACATTTACAGCTGAAAAACAGTTTTCATTTAAGCTTATTAAGATGAGGGTAATTATAACAATTTTATGATATCATAATGAAAGAAATTTGATGAAAATATTTCTGGAAAATTGTAAAGGGAATATACGTAGATCAGTACGTGTTATATACACATGGGTATAATGGCAGAGGTACTATAGACTTCCTTATTCCTATATCTTGAAAAATACTATTACTTCCTTTTTAGATGGAAAAAAAATATTCATGTAGAAAAACATCTTTGTCACAGTTAATGACAAAGCATCTAGAATGTTCTGTAGGGTAAGTCGTAGATATACGATGTGCAAACTTCAATCAACCCCAAATCACATGAAACGACCCGTGAAGGAAGTCTTCAGGTCTGGTCAGAATTGAAAACCAATTTTTTAAAGTCCTTTAATTTTCTAAGAGTACATTGTGGAGGGGATTAAAGTTTTCTTAACATACTGGGAAGTATGCCAAAGATTCAAATAAGGTCAAATTTTCACAAAAAAGGGAATATTATGCACAATTCAGTGAATCAATTGTAAAGGGTGTTACATGATATATAGAGCACAAAATGTCAGATAACTAATAAGCACTGCACTGTTAGTTTTTGTTGAATAAGTGATATTTGATCTAGCAGAGTGATAATTATGAGACAAAAATAAGGGCAAAAAATTTGCAATGTAAGCAAAATTCTGCTGTTGAAATTTTTTTAACAAGTATTAGTATTTTTGTTATTTTAAAAATAGGATGTACAGGGGCCATTGTATTTTATGTATTAAGAAGGGGGAGTTATATTAGACGATCAAATGTCATCTGTTTCCATCCAGGCATGTCCAACGAATGAGAGATGCCGGAAGATTTGTCTTTTAGTCTCCGGCCTTGACCAGGGGATGACTTGGTTCTTTGTCTCCGAGCGTTATTCTCTTGGTCCCCGGTACGGCCTGGGACACAGCTGATAGCCAGGGGACTCTATCGCAGGGATCTTTATGGTTCTGTGGGTGAACTTGGGGTTAAAAGGCAACTCCATTAATGACCCCTGGCTCCACAAAATGATTTAAGATCAATGTTGGCTCGTACATTTAGGGGAAATATTAATAAACGCAGTTCTTGATGTGTGATGTATGTCCTACAATTTAAAAAAAGGACATGACTTTAGTTTCCTCTTTGTAATTATTCAGATTGTTTAATTATGCTATGTTTTAGACACAGATGCTTTTCGTAAATCATTTGACCCTTAAATAATGTTATAAATGTCTTTTGACAACTCATAAATCTTTTGGCTTGGAACCATGCATATAATGTTCTAATAAACTGTAACAAAATGGAATGCTTTTAACTTTTGAGACAACAATGGACTTTAAAATGATAATGATGCATTCTTTGCCTATTGTATGTCTGGAAAATTGTTGCAGTATTGCAGGCAAAGTGTACATAACCATTCAAGATGTAATTGCATGAACAAATATTTTTACAAAAGACCTAAGGCACATAATTTATCGAGATTTCTACAGTTAGGTTTTTTGGATAAACAATTTGCTGAAGTCTATCTGTAAAATCTGTCAATTCAGCAGTAATTGTTCCATTGATTGCAGCAATAAAGATTGAGTAATTCATCATCCCACACAAGTGCAAAAGCCTGCTTAATTATCGGTGGTTTATGGCTCTATGTTAGATAGGCTATATTAGGGATTTTATGTACACAACCCTTAGTCTAAATTCACCTTTAAGAAAACACTAGCTTTTGTGAAAGGTTTATACTACCTAGCAGGTATTATATTACGTATAAAATTAGATTCTTCCTTTGGGGTTTGTTGTACCCAGTAGATATGATAATTTAATGAAAAGTAAAAGTATCAGCAGAATTTGCCGTGCCACTACAGGTGATGTATGGTGCATAATACTGCAGTACCTTAGTGAGATCCTGATAACATCAAAGGTAACACACACACCTCTCAGGTGTAAATTTTGTACCTGTTCCCCTTACCGGTGAAGATTGGTGTATTGTACAAGAAGACCAAGGCTGGTTTATGAGAGCTGAGGTCATTTGACCTCCACATTGAAAGGTCACTCAAGCATGTTAATGTTGGTCAGCAAAGTGACCATTGCCGTAAACAAATTGGTTGACCAACATCTAAAAAAATATTAGAATGCATCATATGGGAAAAGGTTGGGCTTCTGTGTTGTTTTCAGAATTGAGTCAGTGAAAAAAGTGAGTGAGTTTGCTTTAAGATTTAGTGTGCATTTGAAAGGAATCCATTTCTGCAAAGACTTGGGTCTCTATGGTGCATACCGGTAATAAACTGTCATAGACCCTAAGGCTAGTTAGATGTTGTCAGTTGTTTGTATCTATCTGATGAAGGCTCTAGCTTTTAAGTTACAATGTGTATGATTTCAATATTAAATGAATTCATGTAGTCTTATCTAAAGACATTAAAAATGAGCGATTTAAGACAGATGAATTAAATGATGTTCCAATATATGTAGCCAAGTGAAGGTTGACAATAAAAGTTATAATCAGAAAGTCCATATAGTGCATGTAATCAGCATGATATTTCCTGGAACTCTTAATAAATAAGTACATCCGTGCAGTCTGGTATGACATTTTCATGTATATATTATACTCAAAAAT